TATACACGTGTGTGTAAGAGGTATATTTATTAAGATGGGAATTAACTTATTGTTATTTATTTCAAACCATTTTATGAAAGAAATTGTCGTATTTCTTATTTATTTAAAAGCTTTGTTTGTCCTGGATGGTGCCAATGTGGAACATTTTCTCAAGCAAAGTCTAAAAAAAGGTGATCCAGTACTGCTAAACACTCAAACACACATCCTAATGATGCTTATCTGCTTCACTTAGATTCCAGAGTTTCTCAATTCATGACTCCAAAGGATCATAATTTGCTACCACGTTAGAATGAGACACAGAGGAGGGGACCAATAGAAGATTTTCGACTGAATTGATCTGTAGTTTTGGAGCATTTTGAGAGACGGCAGGGTAGATTCTTCACCTCATTTTCTCCGATGTGACCATGCTAAGACAGGGGGAGGACTTCAGATGTTGCTCTCTCAGCACATGATTCTTTGCTGCTGTTTATTTTCAAGACCCAGAATAGATTTAACATCACTCCAACGAGGAGCCATCACATCTTGTAACTGATGTCCAAAATCAACATGAGCGTAGGGGTCTCTCTGAGGATCTGCAGGTGCCTTTGAGGATGCATACTTTGAGTCCAGAAGCTGCTAGAATGCCTGCCTATCAGCATACGTTACCCGAAACCTCACTCTGGCCTCGCACCAAGTCTGAGCAAAGGCTCTGCAGCGGTAACTGTCCCAATAGGCTTTAAAGTTCACAGGACTGCTTGTGTTTCTGTCTCGACTCTGACAGACAGGTCTTACTCCCCGAAAGGGGATTTGAAAGTGATCCTCTAACATGAGTCTTAACCAAATATCCCCGTGGGCAAAGGCATATTGGTGAAGGCAGTTTAAGGAAGATCTAGCTACTGTAACGGCTGTCATCGCGCAGCTGATGTAAATATCTCAAGACTACTCGTTTGGACAAAAGATGTTTTGGAGCTGCGGAGGGAAGACGATGGGTAGGCTCAATGTGCTTTCTACATGTAATCACTTGTTCAGTCAAGTTTATTCCCATACACAAATACACATCCAGGAAAACAGGAGGGTCTTTAAAAGCATGTTGCTGTGCCCATCGAGACCCTGCGAGGGGATCCTTTTAAGTGGAACAAAGAGAGCCCTCGGGTAGGTCTTGATGTTAGCACGGATTAGGGACCAAGGTATCTGTGCCCACCCAGCAGCAAGCAAGCCAGCTTTACTGTGTAATCCCCCTGCACACAGAACAAATCCACTGCATCAAGCTGAATTTAGGCCAAACACTACACAGAGAGGAGAAAAAAAGACTCTTAGCTTTTATCACAGCATACCTCATCAATTGGATCATCTTCCCCTTTAACAACTGATTCGTGCATAAGCTTTTCCAGATGAGAATGTGCAGTTAGGAGACTTCCCAGAAGTCTCAGAGCGCCCCGCTACTCCCCGATACCATACATTAAAGTGTGTAAACTGTGACCACTAGCCCTCTCATCTTTATGACTGTTTGCTCATGTTTTCTTGGCGATTAGTCCTCTGGTTTTCATACAAAGGTAAACAAGCAAAAAGGTAAAGATGCGAAGGAATCCTCAGTGTTAGTATTAGAAGAAAGGATTGGATTTCTTTCTCACTCCTTGTCGTGTTAACACCTCTGTGAAAAAAAACCTGTCATGTCGTCTCACTTGTTTTGTGTTACAGAACCAAAGCTCTCTGCAAACTTTATTTTTGTACAATATTCATTTTATAACTTTTTACAGAATTAAACTTGTTTCTATTAAACGAGCGTGTCTCCTGGTATTCTGCCGTGTACAGTAATGCACCGGTGCCAGATGGTGCTAATTTGCCTGGGACGTGTTTACACAAGCATCATGTAAAATTGAGGATGAAAATTTGGGTTAAAAGGAGAATTGCGGGAGTGGTTTGAGAGATGGCCTTGACAGTGTGGCGTGCATTCCTGAGCGCTAGCCCAGGGTCGTACAGTAAACAAAAGCTAGCCGTAAAGCGCCACTGAGCTGTAAATCAAGGCAGCCAAGAATGTTTCCACTGTGCAGAGAAGATCTGTAAATGCTGATGAGGAGATTGCAGCAGTACAGAAAGCAAGTCATTAAACAGCATTTAAGGTGTGCGTACGAAGTATAAAAGCTTTTGGGGCAAGTGCAAATCAAACCTTAATTTCAAAATCTTTCAGCCCTCATTATTTTTTTTAATCAAAGCTGTTTGAAGTCTGTTTTCCCCCCGCAAAATATGCCAAGTCCCTTCAGTGCTGAGGTCTGATAATTGAAGCTGCTCTTATCAATAATTTTATATTAACAATAAATTAAATGAAGGTAAAAGGGGGACGCTTGCAGTGACAAACTTGCAGAAAATTATCTCCCAATTCTACAGCTCTCCTCACCTCTACAAAGTGTTTCAGCATCTTTCAGCTCATTTTGGTCTTAAAGCCCAAGACTTTAACGTTTAGGCTCCATTTCGCCGCTCTGCTCAGCATCCTTTCCACGTGTAGGCAGCTGTTTAGTGCCCTAGAAACCCCAAAAAGCAGACAGACAAAGTTAGCAACCAGCTGGTGAAGATAGTGGAGCATTTAGAAGCATATATTTCCCTTAGGAGCTGGTGGAGACCAAAAACAGAGCAAAAAGAGAGTGAGAATTTGAAGAACATTCAGCTGGTGAGCAGAAAGACCACTACAATTGAATGACAATGCTTCTTTGTAACTGTCGTAGCTGCTGGACGTGTAAATAAGCAACTGTTTGCTAACAAGCTTGCCATGTCAATGTAAAGATGCAGTCAGCGATTTTTATCCAGTCCGATACACTTTGTCAAATTCAGCGATAATCTCAAGGTCAAATGGGAATCATTTACTCAGACCAAGCCACACAACACTATTCCAGCCAATCAGCAACATTCATTCTCGTACGTAGGACAGAGAGGCAGCCGTGGGTGTAGAAAAAGTCAACAGCGAGAGCTTGAGGGACTGTAAATCGGGCACATGCTAATGTACTAAACTCCACAGCACAATGTCAATAATCTTTACCCAGAATTGCTGACTTCACCTTTAGATGGTGAGATGTAAATATTCACAAGTTGTTTCTCCTGCATTTAAACTTTTTACTGCACATCTTCAGTAGGAACCAATGGACAAGTAATGAAAGACAAACGAACTCCTGGGGTCTGTTGCCAATTAGGAAAATGCAGACTATCATCAGCGTTATCCTTTAATCCACAAATCTGGATCCTGCTTATTTATTCTTGTCGAGTTAAATGTGATTTTTATCCTACATGATATCCGGGGCTGACAGCAGTTGGTTGCTTGCGGTCGCAAAAAAAAAAAATTCTTTGGTACTATTTCTTGGGTAGAAAGATGTTTCTATGAAAACTAGTCACACTGTATTCTGTGAAATATTCTGAGTAAGTAGGACACTGTATCTGGTGTTTCTCAAACTTTTTAATGCTGTGAGTAGCAGAAAATCTAGTGTTCACCTCGTCTGTATTAGGAGCAAAGATGTAACCACTGCATGTTCTCTGAGGAAGAACATATTTCTTTGCCATTTGGATGAACTGACCCTTTGACAGGTCTGTATCTTAAAACGCCTGCACCTGGAGGCTATGGTTACAGCTCCACACACAGCCTCTCTCTTTTCCACGTGCCAACTGGTTCATCACATGCTGGTGGAGTGAATCAAACAGCAGTCACTCCTCACCTCCCGCTGCTGACTGAGAACTCTTCTCGAGGAGAGCTTGACGTCAGCCTCTCCCCCCACGAAGCTGATCTCTCTCTCTCTCTCTCAGCTCTCCACTTTAGTCGCTCTTAAAAACTTCACTCACTGTTTTAGTCCTTCCATATTTCTTGTTCTGGTATTTGTCTGTCTCATATTCGCTTTATGGCCACAGGAAGTTTGCCAGGACACAGAGACATTCGATTGTCTGCCTGTAACTTTGGTTGACAAGGAATTTAAGGCCGCTCTACAGTTTCACCCATTGGAAGTCACTAAGTAGAAACACCAGCTGAATGACGGGTATGGATGTGAAGACTTTGCGTGTTGTTGTAAAAAGATAACATAACATCCAATATCACTGTTACTGAGCAACTGGGGGAAAAACAGCACAGTATATATGCTATCAAAACCTCCTTGTCATCTCAGCAGTAAAATTCAAAATGTATACAGTCAAATGAACCATATGACTCACTTGTTAAAAAATACTTTTACACGAAAACACACAGTTAGTTTGTTGCAGTGGGCAGAGGTTGAATTCCTGGGAGTTGAGGAACACAATCACATCTTTCATTAGATCTGTATGTTGTGGTTTTCTCTGTCAGTTAAAATATATTTAGACACTGTACAGGTCACTTACAGAAAAAACAGAGAAATGGCTCCACTCTGTTATAGGTGTGCTATGCAGTGCAGGTAGTTTCAGATTATTATGCATTTTACAGCCACACCTCATTTTAAATTTTAAAAGTTTAGTTGTGAAAGCAATTAGAGCCTCTCGAAATATAACACAATTTGGTTCTGGAGCTTGAGCGTGAAAGTTCATCATTCATTTTGAGAATAGTTGTGTGAGAAAATGATCTTAAAATAACATTTCATCCACAAAATGACCAACTTTATATGTCAGTTACTCTCTGCGTGTTAGCTTGTATGCTCAGTGCTTCCCAAACATATGCATTTTTGCCGAATTGTTACAATATACAACACTTCCATCTATAAGCAGTGCACCCTGAGCATGCCATGAGAACGCTACTTGGCTGTAACGCTAACGTTTTAGCAAAAGTACACTTGCTTGGAAAGTACCGAGCACACCACTGGATAAATGAGACTTGGATTACACTGTGTGAGAGTTTGTAAACTGATGTTCTGGTATAGTTTTGCCATTGTTAAGATCGGATTATCCCTTTATCTGGAGGCATGCAAGTAC